ATGCACTGAGACCTATTGACAAATCTAACAACAACAAAAAAACTACAATAAAAAAAAGCACTACATTTCCTGGACTTTGAAGTATGTCATTAATTTCCATAAATTCAAAACCTGGAAATCACAATTATATAATTCTGATATGTCTAGACTTTTCATGACAATGCGAGTTCATGAGCGTTGAAATACAAAATGCATTGCATCTATATATAAACATAAATTCTTGTATTGCATAATGCACCATTTATACCACACATGCACAGCATATTTCAAGGTTTCATCTTGAACCCTTGTACCTCGGGTTTGATGGTAATTATTCAAATCATTATGTCCTGCATAATGAATTCACATTATTACCATAAGTAAAATACAAAATGCACAGAAACTGATATCACTCATCACTAGGGCTCTAAATATAAGATGCATAATTAATATATTTCATGGCACACTCTCTCTCTCACACACACACACACACACACACACACACACACACACTCACTCACTCACTCTCACACTCTCACACACACACTGCATAATATACCTTTTAAACCACACATGCCACACACTGCATAATATACCTTTTAAACCACACATGCATTGTATGGTGATAACAAAGTCGTTATGTCCTGCATAGTTTCCAGAATTCAACAGAGTGCGGCTAAAACACTCTTTTGTGCATCTTGGAATTGAATACATTAAACGTACACTAACTGAAGCTACAGTAGGATTGTAACGCACAACTGTGTTTTATGTGAGTGTAATATATGTTTTTGAGAGTGCAAGACCAATTTCAGACTCAGCCCGACAATAAAATATCATATCATGCCGTATATTTTTGGTGCAGCTGCATATGGAAAGGTGCACACTGTACTTCACCTTTACTGTCCCGCGGGGCAGTCGCGGCATGGCCACGTACAGCACGAACAGCGCGTACAGCAGCACTACACACTCGGTGACGCTCGCCTCCGGAAAACCGCAGCACCGCGTGAAGACGTTGAGCACGGACGGCAAGCCGAAGCCCAGGATGAGCGTGAGAAACACGGAGAACGCGACGAGCAGCGCGACCCTCACCAGCGGCAGCGCAGCCATCTTGAACTGTTGACAACTCTGGCGGAGGCGGGGCCATACGGACCCATCTCATGAATTATGCAAATTAAAGAACGGTTACCTATTAAAAAGAGCGAATGCTATTGAGGGGCGGTGCCACAAACATAAATTATGCTAATAAGAAAAACAGTCCTCTTTATTATGCAGCTGCAATCTTTCATTAACCAATCAGTCAATAAATACAAAACAATCAACAGGGTATGCACGCATTTATTAAAATCAACTAATTCAATAATAATCATTATGCTACCTTAAAAAAGTAAACAATTCTCATTGGTTAGCACATTTGTAATGGGTAATTTGAAATGTAATTTTACTCTTTTGATCATAATTTAAAATAATTAATAGTAATATTTATAACTTACAATTGGTTCCTTATGAAATGTCCCACTGGAAACCTTTATATTTGGCTCAATAGCAATACAACTTTATTGAAAACTTGTAAAAGTCATTTTATAAATTATCAAGTTTCAGGGTATTTATAGCCTATGAATTTATATGTTTTTATTGTACAGTATAAACTGCAACCACTTTACCAACCGCTAGGTGACGCTTGCTGTTTCTGTGTTATTGAAAATACCTATAAAATACCTATACAATCATTTTGTTTGACTTAGGAACTACATGAAAAGAACAATATTTAAAAATACAAACACTATAATAATTCATGTAAAGATGCAGTTCCACTAAGAACCACAGGGTGTTCATAATTTCCTTTTTTTTTTCCTCTTTCTTTTTCAGAATGTTAGGTAACACTTTCTAATAACTTTCATTTATAAATCATTAACAAACGTAATATAATGATTAACAGATCATTAGTTAATATACTGTATATTCACATAGCTAGAAACATGAGATAGGCTACTTTTCTTGTTAATGTTTAATAATGAACTTACTAAGCATTACCTAATGATTAACAGGTCATTATTTAATGTAAAATGTATCTAAAGTGGAAACTATTCATCCTTTGCAAATGTTTATAAACGTTTACTAATCATAAGTGTCCCGAAAGACCTGAATGTACCCTTTTCACACATCTTTACTAATCATTTATTAATCATTCGTTCATGTTTTTGCAGTAGCCAATCTAAAGTAGAAACTATTCATCATTTGTAAATGTTTATAAACGATTACTAATCATTTAGTATTTTTATGGGCTTTGGACTTTTAGCTAATGTAACAAGGTTTGTTTTAAGGGTGGCTGGTTAAGTTTGGCTAAATGCTTGCTAAAGACAACAGATTGTAATTTTGGTGCAAAAAAAAAAAGTTTTTATTGCCTCAACACTTACATTATTATACTACTCGTCAGTATATTACAGTATATTATTAAACATCATATTCCTTGAATCATAAATAAACAGGGGAAAACAAAACAATTTTTGAAAGAAAATACTTGTTCATTTATCAAAACAATATAAACAGATTGAACCGTGTCCCCTTATAGTAATTAAATTGACCCCTGTACACCGTTGACCCTTTAACCAACCCTTAAACCTAAACTCTAAAAAATGCTGGGTTAAATACAACCCAGTGCTGGGTAAAATAGGGACAAACCCAGCAATTGGGTTTTTGTTTTAAGGGTGGCTGGTTAAGTTTAGCTAAATGCTTGCTAAAGACATAACAGATTGTAATTTTGGTGCAAAAAAAAAAAGTTTTTATTGCCTCAACACTTACATTATTATACTACTCGTCAGTATATTACAGTATATTATTAAACATCATATTCCTTGAATCATAAATAAACAGGGGAAAACAAAACAATTTTTTAAAGAAAATACTTGTTCATTTATCAAAACAATATAAACAGATTGAACCGTGTCCCCTTATAGTAATTAAATTGACCCCTGTACACCGTTGACCCTTTAACCAACCCTTAAACCTACACTCTAAAAAATGCTGGGTTAAATACAACCCAGTGATACCACCAAACCTGTCCCAAATCTTACCCCATCACACCTCAGTAGCAGCTCAAGTGTTGTGCATTAACACAAGCTTTTAATCATGTTATAACATCTGTTAAAATCATTTGTAGATTTTCAGTAAGTGCTTGATCATATGGAATTGAAAGTTTAATGACATTTGTAAGCATTTTAACTTACCTAATGATCCATTAAGCAGTATATAATGTTTGTTAATGATTTATTAATGAAAGTTATTATAAAGTGTTACCGAATGTTATTGTTGTATTTAATCTTTCAACAAATATTGCTTAAATATCTCTATTCCTCAAATGACACTCGTGCTTTTAATTTTTAATTGTGTAAACCTGGTTTTGGTGGAAGATGTTCCTGACAGCTGAAGCGAAATATTATTTTATGTATTATGTATTATTTTACATGTATATATACACACTGGTAATATATTTTTTTAATGTTTATTGAAAAAAGTGTCCAATGCTCACCGAAAAGCTGCATTATAAATACAATAAAAGCAAAAAAAATAAATAAATAAAAAAAGAAATAGTGTAAAAAAAATTACAATTTTAAATTGTACATTGTTTTCTATTTTAATATATTTTATAATGTAATTTTCATTACTCCAGTCTTCAGTCTCACGTGATCCTTCAGAAATCATTCTAAAATGCTAATTTGGCACTCAAACGTTTCATCCTTTTGGTTTGTATTATTCTCTAGTCCCGTGTGTTGATGAGCATGGCACGGGGGCCGATACACTGCATCGGGGTGGTCTTTGTGTCACTCCCATTGGCATTAAGTCAACGAGGTGATGGGAGTGCTGTTGGCATGCCAGCTGCCAAGCAAACCCACTGCACCCTGCTCTTGTCTCATTCTCATGCATCCATTCAAGAAAGAGAGAGAGAGAGAGAAACAGAGCAAGGCAGGGTGGCCTGCAATGCTTATGCCAAGTCTGACTCCGTTGCATCAGGTTAAAGTTTTTTGATATTAAAATATTTTCCAAGCATAATATACAGAGACAACTATAAGCAAATCTGTTTTAAAACATTACTTTTTGCAATTACGTTTAATGACACAAAAAGCACAAAAAAACTACAGTTTACCATTAATTTTGGACTATGACAGGATGCTGTTGTTTAAACAGAGAATAAGATCATAATGAGGTAAAAGATTAAAGGGATAGTTTACCCAAAAATGAAAATTCTGTCATCATTTTGCGCCTGAAAATAGTCCCCAGCACGCTCCCTGTGCAAGCAGGTGGTCACGTTGGTTATGTTGGCGAAAGTTAGCCTATTTTCAGGCACTGCGTAATATCATTGCGCCTGCTGCACCCATGGTACGGCAGCAAAGTTCCTTGATTATTACGCCAGAATGAGAGTATAGTTCCTAGCCATATCAGTCTAGAAAATCACAACTTTTCATTTTCCGTCGGTCTTAGTACACGATGTAACTACAGAAGAGTCAAGTTTTAAATAGGAAAAATATAGAAACTCTTTGGTCATTTTTGAGCGAGATGCTAACGGTCTAATCAGATTCAATGACTATGCTAAGCTACAGCTAAAAGTGCTACCGCAAGACCCGGAGATCGGCTGAATGGATTCAAAAATGGTAAAACTCAACTGTTTAACTCTAGGGGAGTTGGAAAATGAGCCATTTTCAAAAATAGTGGAGTGTTCCTTTAAAAGTGCTGGAACTGGCAACATGATGTGCTCTAGTTAAAGGGAAACCAAGTTCTTTTTTTTTTTCCTCAGTAAAAAAGCAGTCGCCCCCAATGAAATGAAAATGACATGTCATGTACACATGAGATAAAACTCACTCCAGTTACACCAGTAGACTTATAAAAGCTGTTTTGTGTACATTGAACATGTCAACTCAATACCAGCAGTAGTAGCTGGGTTTCTCAGGAACCCCATTACTGGACTTTTGTATGCAAAATCTATATATTTATCATTGTAAATTGAGAATTTGTACATTGGCATTGGTGACTGAAAACTCCAGACCACTAGGTGTCAGTATAAGTCCAAAACATCTTTAAAACATGGAAACTCTGAGCATGTGACAGAGAAAGCTGGCCCCAAACTCCCTTTATAAATTCCTGAAGTTGCCATGCCCTTCAGAATTCACATTTTGCATGAGGTTCAAAGGTAAAGTTCTGGTAAATGCTATTAAAATGAGGAAGATGAAGAGTGTGATGAGTCTTGCATAGCTGAATACCCTCTCAAATGTGTATGTGTATGTGTTTTTGACATTTTGACTTTTTATTTCAGGAAAGCATCAAGCTTTTTCTGAATGTTGTCAAAAGAGTCTATTCCCATGTAGTCGGCCTGGCCCTGTTCCCACCGCTGCTTGCGCTCCGCTGAGGACATGAGCGGCTGAACACGCTCCTCGCTCTCCTCAGCTTCCTCCTGTGAACAAGAGAACAATCCAAGTTATTACAAACATGACATTAATGAATACCATAAAAAATTGGTAATCTTTCAGTTTTGTAAGTTTTAAAGAATGACTGCAATCAAAAGGGATGAAAGACATACTGCAGTGGTTTTGAAAAATCTGAATCTAAAGCAGTGGTTCTCTACCAGCCTCAGGATGACTTATTTATAATATGGTCAAATGAGCCTTAAAATAAGCCAAAACAACTACTTCTTTTAATTATTATAATCCTTTGAAAAATCATATTCCCGCAAAAGAAAAAAAAACAAAACACGAATAACACATATAACATGAACATGAAAAACATGTATATTTGAGGTTGAGTACTTTTGTGTGTGTGTGTGTGTGTGTGCATTATATATATATAGTATATATGTGTGTGTGTGATCTATCTATCTATCTATCTATCTAATTGATATTTAACATGAATTTACATTTTTCTAGTTTCTAGCCAAGCTTTTATTGAGTTAAATTTGTAATTTTTTTGTTGTTGTTGTTGTTGTTGTTTTTTTGCTTTTTAAAAAAATCCAATTAATCTCAAACTAAATGTTCCTCTTTGAAGAAACCTGGATTTAAAAATGTGATGTCTGTGATTTTATATAAAGTGAATAAAACATAATTAAAATGAATTTAAATTCTTTAGTTATGACAATCTCGAGAAAAACAAATGATTTGGTAGAAATTGTAATTTTTGTTTTTAATTAGGACCCCCCCCTCCCCCCTCCAATTTACCATTTTGGGAAAAAGTCTTGATTTTTGAAGTGTTATTTCAAAACATGGAAAATCATGTAAATTAACCCTTAAATGCATGAATGTTTCGCCAATCATTATTACATATTCGGGTCTTTAGTGACCCTGACCTATATATACAGCATGGATGGATCTCTAACTGCTGCAATAGCAAAAACTCTCTTGATATTTTAAGAACAATTACAGAAGAATAAAATAAAGCATATTTCGTTACCTTTTGAAACTTAAAAGCGTTCAATTTGAGCAGATGATTTTAACGTCGCTGTCATCGTCAGAGCGCACTTCCACAGTACATTCAGCATCTGGCTCATATTCACGACCTTATACACTTTTTACTAAAAAATTATCAGAAAACTGGCATTCTTTTATATTTTACTATTTTTTTCTTGTTATATTGTTTATAATTAATAGATTGAGGAATACTAAGAAAGTTGATGTCTAACTTTAAAAAATGAAGGAGGGATAGGGTAGAGAATGATGTCCCGGGTCGCTAAAGACCCAAGGTGTGCATTTAAGGGTTAATAATAAATATCTATTTATTTTCAGTAAATCCCTAACAAAATATCCTTCTTTGAACAACATTCTCACAGTTATGAAAAAAAAAACCTGGATATACAGTATGAGAGAGACTACATTTAAAAGTGTGATTTCTAAACATCATGAAAAATCATGTACGTTTATAATAAATATATAAAATAGCAGTGTGAATAATATATCTTATTACAGTTAACAACAAAAAAGTGCAAGTATGACAGTCAGGACATGGCCATGTAAACTCAAAGAAAGGGTTATTTTCTTGTTCTGTATGTTTAGGCCTGACCTCACAGCCGGAGTTGAAGGGCTGGTCTCCATACTCTCGGATCAGCATGGGCAGCACCTCAGCGCTGTACAGAGCCCACCACTGCAGCAGGAGGCCGGGCTGAGACGAGGCCTGCGCGTCTCCTCTCACTCTCCTCTGTGTGGTGTTATACACGTAGCTCCACGGCTTCATCTGGCCCAGGAAGTGCACAACCTTTGCATTTGCACCATATCTGTGGACAGAAACACATTTTCAGCATGTATTCCTGAAAGATAGCAGGCGTCCATAACGTATATTAATGCATTTCAACGCTGGGGTGAAAATAGGTCAAGTAATACTTCAGGATTTTACAAGTTAAAATTCCCGATTGGAATCTGCTCTGACATTTTCTGTGAGTTAAAATCTACACAATGGATTTAAATATGGTGTAAGCCTGAAGTGAGAATACCATGCAATTTGTGACCCTCACACTCTCAGCCCGTCTCACACTCTTCTTCCTCAGCTCCTGTGACCCGATGTTACGGCATAAGCTGCCTTCATGTGACCCGTGTGTGTATCCTGTTACCGTCCCATCATAAGGCCAGCACATGCCAGCATTAGTGACAGAGAGAGCCGCTGCTGAAGTCAAGGTGTCACACTTACTGTTTAAATGCAGGAAGGTACGTGTAGATGGCTATGCTGCTCATGTTATAGATGAAAGGAAGGTGTTTGTTGATGTCGGCTGTTGCCCAGTCGCTGAAGAAGCCATTCAGAACTCCTTGGTCTCCTCCTGTTGAACAAATGATTCATAAATATGTCACTTCAAATGGAATTACTGTAGCTCTCTTTCATTTATCAGTCATTTATTTAGAGCACATTAAATCATTTCAAATAATTTTATTTAAAAGTCCTTCATTTAAGTTACTAAAGTTGAAGTGTGTAATTTCTGCACCACCAGCGTCATAAAGTGTAATTGCAATAAATAAATAAATAAATAAACAATGAATGAATGAATAAACATACAATTAAAATAATTAAAATTAAAAATTATAAATGGTTAAACAAATAAATAAATAAGCACGCAATTTAATGAATATATAATTAAAAATGAATAAATAAATACAAATAATTAAAAAACATTTAAATAAACAATTAAACGAATAAATAACAAAAAATACATAATAACAGATTAAACAAACAAATAAATAGACTAAATTAAATCAATCAATAAGATTAAATAAATAAATGAATAAATATATAATTACCAAAATAAAAAAAACAAATAAACAAATAAAACTGAATAAATAAATAATTACCAAAATAAAATAAATAAATTTAATAACTAATTAACAAACGAATAACTAATAAACTAAATAAAAACCAAATAAATGAATACTTTAAAAAAAAATGTGATTAATCTGTTGATAGAGGCACAGAGTATACACTTTTAAGGAATCACCTTAAACATAGCTTTTTAACACACACACACACACACACACACACACACACACACACACACACACACACACACAAGCCAACAAAATCAAGTATTAAAGTTACATTTTGAATTCTTATTTTAATGTTTTGGTTGGTTGGGTGTTGCTATGAGATTGCTAAGGAGTTCTCACTGCTGTCCAAGTGGTTGCTAGAGTGATCTGGGTGGTTGCTAGGTAGTTTATAAGGTGTTTTGACCATATATATGTATAGACAGATGCCCCATTCGACTGCGCCAAGCATGTAGACACACCATCTTTAATGGTCAACTTAAAGGGTTAGTCCACCCAAAAATGAAAATTAGCCCATAAATTACTCCGCCTCAAGTCATCCTAGCTGTATATGACTTTCTTCTTTCATACGAATCCAGTCGGTTATTTAAAAAAATGTCTTTGATCTTTCAAGCTGTTTAATGGCACTCAGCGGGTGTTGCATGCATCAGTCCAAAAGAAGTTAAATAAAAAGCGCCCATTCTTAATAAAAAGTGTCTCACTGGTAACTTTTAATGTTGTGTTAGCTAACGCGCTCATCTTGTTGTATGGTGTTAGTTAGGTCTACACAACAACACGTTGAGCTCTCTCGGCCACTGTACTCGAGGGTTCGAGTCCAGACCATCGGATGTTATGGTAAATGACGTCAAGTTGACCCTTATATGGAGGACGGCTTACATATAGCGGCCCATAGAAACAGTCGCTAATGAGAAATCTACATATACATATCTATGGTTTTGACTCCTGACTGTTTTGTATGTGATGAAATCTGATACATTTGTTCAGACAGAGACAAACATTGTCCAAAACTGCTGACAACATAGTGAATGTCACATAGTCCACTAAATCAGGACAGTAAGTGAAAATTAGTGTGTCCAGATACAGCTCCAAACAATATTGCATGGATCATATGACGTCATATATACACTCTGCCCTAAATGATGGGGAAACCCTACCTGAAACCCATTTAGCAAACACCTGTAGTACTCAGCCGTGTAGGATGGCCATTTTACATCTTATCCCAGGGAAATTCAAAAGTATTAAGAACATGCTGTTTTTGAGTAGTACAGAGTATAAGGAATGTGTCAAGGTGCTTACTAGATGAAAAAAGACCCTACATATCTAAAAAAGGTCACGCTCTGAAAGAGCAGCCTAGTTCCTGCATGCTTGTTCAAAGGTCACTGAAGACACGACACACTCCACAGAGTCACATGACACAGAGATATACATCTCACAGCATGATGCATACTGCACTAAACACACGCGGACACTGAAATAGCTGCACTATTAAAAACAAACGCTGAAAAATCTGTTTAGCCTGAATTGAGATCATCTATGTGTCTGCTGTGCAGTGCCGTGGTGGACACAGAATCCAGGAGTGTAGGAGGACACGGGAAATATTAATAGCACGCCTGCAGACATGCAGACAGCTGGTCAACATAAAATGAAAATTTGGCTATTATATACTCATCCTCATGTCTTCTGAAACTTACATGATTTTCTTTATTTTTTTTTTCTGTGGAGCACAACAGGAATTACATGACATGGCTGTCATGAAAGATTTACGGCAAAATAAATCGGACTTAAATATTAGTATGTTACTCACGCTATTGCATTGTATGGCTTTAGATAACTTGACAGTATAACATAAAATTATATAGAACATTTTTATGATACTTTTATAATGTTTTTGTTAATTTTAGAGCTTAACAGCTTCTGTTCCCCATCCACTTTCATTATATGTGAGAGATCAACTCAAATTTTGTCTTCTGTTTTTTGAATGTAACACTTTACAATAAGGTCTCATTACTTAAGGTTAGTTAATGCATTAATTCAAATTAACAAACAATGAGCATTACATCTGTTAAAGTATTTATGCATCTTTTGCTATGCTATGCAGGTTTTGCTATGCTCCGATTCAGGGAAAACAGAGTTTAAAAATTATTATAACAAAGATTTTAAAAATGGATTTCAAATAATAAAAATAAAAATCAATGAAAAACAATGCAAAAAGTTTGTGTAGTTTCTGGATTTTGCCCGTGGAGGGCAGAGTAGTACGGTGGACGAGAAGTGCAAAACAAATCATAATTCTGAAAACAAAATAACAAATTACAAACGCAAATGCAGATCTAAAAAACAAAATTGCATTTGCGTTTGTAATTTGTTATTTTGTTTTCAGAATTGTGATTTGTTTTGCACTTCTCGGCCACCGTAAGAAATGGATGTAGGGTGGTAAAAACCAAAGTGCAGGACTTTGTTCTATCTATCAGTTGTTGATTGGATGGAAGCAGATCTGAATGCGAGCTTGAGGCTGAATGTAGAATAAAGAGGCGGTATTTAAGACGACTAAATGATTGGAGAAGTCCAGCATACTGTACTTCACCAAGTCTGTTAAAAGATCGAGTTATGATATTTTGATTAAAAAATTTATTATATGCATGGATCAATTTTTTTCACAATAAGATCCATAACATGAATTTGGAAAATAGGTGTGATGAATTTTCATTTCATGCCAACTTAAAAGGTTATTGTTATCTAGTCAATTTATTTGTTCAATATCTGCCTGTTACCATGTGGGCTACGCTTATAGTCCAGTGCCATCCTCTGCGCTAAAACACATGAATATTTGCCCCAGGACAGGCCATGTGCACGCTATAAGGAAATGAATATAGTCAGTACAAACCATATACAGCATCTGCACTGCTAGCCAAAGATGATTTTCAAACTCATCTAATAATGCTACATTCCTACAGCAGATTAACGAACACGCTGGAGCAATAATAAATGAATAATGTGTTTGCAAAGCATGCTGGTTTACCAGCTAAGCCAATCTAGTGCCATTTAATTTGGGCGTGCCTCCAGGAGCCCAGAAACAGGGTACAGAATCCTCCCCTGGGCTTTCCTTGTGCAAGTGGCTCTACAAACATTACTGTGGTCTTGGAGAGTTCATATTGAGAGGATGATCTGAACTGTGCAGGAATGTGCATAGTCTTTGTCTGGTTTACATTGGCAGAGGATGAGAACAAGGCCACATGATAGCCAAAGGTCATCAGGATTGTAATAAACAAGGAAATGGAAAGATGCTTGTTTGATTCACCGTTTCAGAGATTCAACCACTCTGCAGGAACGAGAGAACACACTGATGCTTTGTCTTTGGATGGCAGTTGTCTGAACGCCCAACAAAACTGGAAGTGATTTGGCTGGTTTATTAGTCTGATGCAAAACACTCTTGAAACTGCTTGTCACTGCGATTATTACTAAACATACTCACTGTTCTTTGAATTTCTTTAGTTTAGCCCCACCACTCACCCAACCCCCCAAAAAACTGAGCCTTCATCGTGTCATTTTGAAATTTTTTAAATTTAAGCATGACTTAACATTACAAATAATATATAATCACCTAGCAGACCCTAGCAACCACCAAACAACAACCATACAACCATACAGAACACCCTAGCAACCACCTAGAACATGCTTATACCATCTACAGTAGAACACCCTAGCAACAACATGCAATGCCCTTACAAATTACAACCATACAGAACATCCTAGCAACCCCATAGAAATGATCTTATAACCCTCCAGGACACCCTAACAAACACCTAGCAATGCAATAGCAAGAAATGAGCAACAGCCTTACAACTATCTACAACAGCAACTGCTTTACAATCATCCAGAACACCCTAGAAATCACCTAGTAACCCTTTTTACTATCTAGAACACCCTAACAACCATCTTACTGTAGCGAATCAGCTCATGGGAAATATGAATAATTAATCATAACTAGTTATAATTAATTATAAATATTTAGATCCGCTGTAGATATTTACTTGACCTCTCAGGGTCAACTGTCTGTCAATTCTAAGAACGTTAATTTCCTGGTTAAGGGAAATAACTTTCTTACTGTACAATTCTACACAGAGCTTGTAGCATAAATCTGCATGATTAAGTGACTCCAGTTATGAGCAAACAATGAACAACGTCAAGTGTGATACAAGTAAGACTTTATTAACTACATAAACACTTAAACTAGTCCAACATACTACATAAACACTTAAACTAGTCCAACATACTACATAAACACTTAAACTAGTCCAACATACTACATAAACACTTAAACTAGTCCAACATACTACATAAACACTTAAACTAGTCCAACATACTACATAAACACTTAAACTAGTCCAACATACTACATAAACACTTAAACTAGTCCAACATACTACATAAACACTTAAACTAGTCCAACATACTACATAAACACTTAAACTTTAAATATAGCTAACAAAATATATATTGTGTGTTT